TTTAACCGAAAATAATATAAATAAGTGCTTATAACAAAGTCTCCGTAAAGACACGGAGATAGATTTAAAGAAAACGGGTATTAGAAATTCACGAGTTTTCACTTGTAAAATATTTAATCATAAATGGAGGCTAATTGTCACACGGGCTAAAGTTTAAAGTTTTAGAGCTTATTCAAGAAGAGCTGTTTTTTTTTTATTTCATAGTTTAACATCAGGATATGATTGTGATCGAATATCGAATTAAGATAAATTCAGATAGATTCATTTATTTTAATAAGATAATTTAAGATATTATATGTATCTACTCTTTAAGCCTTTAATCCAGCAAAATAAATATCTAAAACGCATTTTAATAAAGCTATGAGGATAATATCAGGATGGATTGTAGTTCAAAATTAAATTTGGATATACAGATCATAGCATATGTATTTACTATTTAAGAATAAAATTAATTAAATAAAAATTTCTAGAATTGAAAATGATATGTTGACAAATTGATTTATGATTTAATGATTTTCAAGTTAGCGGATATTATTGATTCGTACACACTACTCCAGTTTTTATCCAGTTAATATCAAAATAATAATACTTATATGGCCACAATCTGTAATGACTCAACCATAAATTGATTGACTTATTAAGTTACACCCACATTTTTATAAACTAGAGTATAAAGTAAAATAAGGTCTGTATACATTATACTATACTTTAGAATCAAATGATGCAGGTAAGGAGTTCTAAATGAAATGACCAGCAATTGGAATACATTATTAGATTTTATATTTGTGCTCGTAACATTATTAGTACATGTATTATTAATAGTTATTGGAATTCTATGAAATTGCATATTTTTATTGTACATCCTAGAGATATTTGGATATTTTACGAGTTCTATAAGATATTCTACGAGTTTTGCTATACAAGTTTACACAATTTGGATGTCATATGCTCTGTGTGTGTAGTTCTATTAGTTCAAGTAGTAATTTCTTGGACCTAAAGCAATTTTTCAAAATATCAATTTAAGAAATGCTAGGCTTAAAAAGTGATTTAATTAATATTTTTTGAATTTATATGTAATAAATCTCAATTTATGTATATTTTTAATCATAATTGTTTCAAATTTTTTGCATAGAAATATTTAATTTGGGCACATAAACGAAAGCGAAAGCCTGCCTGTCTGCCACACCATGTCAAACATGTAGAAGAAATGAAAAGTTGTCGCCAATCGCCTTCAGCAATTATTGCTATAAATATGCAAACAACTCACAGCCATGCAATTGTTGCATGCACAACTGAGCAGTCTATATCAATTGAAAAAGTGAGCGCTCTGTGACCAATCATGTAGATAATTAAGATCACGAACCATTTAGTCGTTTTACCATTTTACTCGCAAAGAAGTGGAGTGTTGCAGTAATTAATAGTCGAGAATTCAATTCGAGTGCTAATACGTATCGATGCAGTTATTGCATTTATTGCATGCCACTACGCATTAGGCACCATATAATGAATCAATGGGTACTCAGACCATACATATACTTGCGAAGTGCTCTTAGAACAAATGTAATTAACTATCATCAGTCAAGAGGAAAACGACAAGAAAATTAAGGCTTCTAAGTATTTAAAAGTTTTTTCAGAGCAATTCTAACTTCTGAAAATGAAGTGTGACTGTATAAAAACAAAAAAAAAAAATATTAACAATAATTTTAATATAGATTCGTTTTCTTCTCCAAATATCCGTTTCTTTTTAAAATTGCTTTTACAGAATCCAAATTATAAATTAACTGTTTAATGTTGACACCGAAGCCATCTTTCGAATCATTGTCAGAGAAGTAGAAATAAGCGAATCGCATATTGCGACAAGTGTGCATTATTACTAATCATGAAAGAGAGTATATAGGGGTCCTTAACATGTTCGCAATTTCGTGAGAAACTGACTTTAGTCAGTACTGGGGTTAGTGACGAACTATATTTGTTTACTTTGCAATTTATTTTTTGATTCCCCCCCTTTGAGCTTTTTACACTTGTTGTAAGAACAAGCCAATTTTTTAAACAAGAATAAGATTCTTCGTGATCCGTAAAATATTCCTAGATTGATGAGATTACACTTCTCGAATTCGTTTGAAATATCTCCTGAGTTAATGGTTTTTATTTAAATGGAAATGATCTAGTGGGTCTAGTGGATGTGTTAGCACTTCATAAAGAAATTCAACTAATTTTGGTATTGTAATTGCTAACATATTACTGGTGTGTTATCGCGGTAAAACACGACGTATTATTTCTTTTGCAAATACGATGATTTTTAGTAATTACATCATATAAATAGTCAGAAAACGTCGTATAACAATGTTCTGCTATAGTTTTCAATTATTATATATCCAAAATTCATATATCCACAAAAACTGAAATTGTAACTTCTGCCGCTATTAGAACTATTTTCCGATTTTTTAGATCACACTTACTAGGACTATTCCAAAGTTTTCACAGCTCTTTCGTTTCTGGAGTATAGTGGTGTATCCACGTCTCATTAGCAATGTAAATTGATCCTAAACTCTTTTAGATAACACGGCATTCATCTTGCTGTCAATTTTCTCATTTGCAAATTCTTTTGCAATATTTTATTAACACGGTTTTAATAAAACAGCAAGTTCGCATACCTGTAATAAGCATTTTTTCATCGCTAAATCCTGATTGTTATCCACTATATTCAAATTTGTTATCATTTCTTCGCGTTCTTTCCGCTCAACATTTTTGGCACTCCTGCCACTGCGACTAGTAAAAGAGGTTAACACTTTTAAATCATTCCATAAGAAGGAAAGGAGTCTTCATATTTCATGTCAAGCTATGTTTTTGTTTCAAAAAATTATTTTCAAAAAGTTGTGTTAATTAACACTTCAAATGAAGATATAAATCTTCAAAACGTTGAAAGTCAGAGTGCGAAATTTGATCTATTGGATCGTAAAGGTCAAATACTGATCCCATTTCAGTATGGGGAAATATATAATGTCATA